CCGGCCAATTGCTGTTTATACTTATTCAATTCTTCATCATCAAATTTACTCAACTTCTGTAGAAACACTTATATTCGAACCAATATACATATTTGAGCACATTCATCTAATCAAAAAATTCCCACAATATATAGAGAGAGAGGCAGTGTGTTCAAGATTCTTTGTTGAATATCTGCATTCAATGAACTATGAAAATGTGAATTACACAGCCAAAATGATGTTCCACTCAAGTAGATAATTTTGTTCAAAGATCTTCTCTTCTTTTGAGAACAAAGTAATACATTCATAATATCTGTATGTAGTTGCATGATTAAAAAATCATAGTTTTGGTTTAGAATATTTAGATGATGAAAACATTTTGAACGTCTTTTCTGCACAATTAAAATGTTCTTATTACAAAAAAATATTCCTTTTATCAGGTTCTGCACTAAATAGAACATAGATATACTCAGGGAATTTTGTAGAACTGAAGTCCAACACTGCATCATCAAACTATCTTATTAGATTATTCTGAAGAAGCTGTATCTATAAGGTCTATAAGGTCTGTATCTATAAGAAAGGGGCTTATTCCAGGTTCCATCCTTATCTTGAGCATCTTTTTCTTTAGCTTCCAGATGATACAGGAACTGTTCTGCTTGGAGGCGCACCGTGGTTTGTCCTTCCACCCGAGTTTTTCATACGTAAAACAGACCGATTCTATGACTTGAAACATCTTCCCATAACATTAAAACTTGAAATACATAAAGCAAGACTGGACGGACTACTGAACCACCTCATCACTTTCTGGAAAGTCAAAACCATCATCTGGATTCTTCCGGAAACGATGCGTGGCAATGTGACCCAGTACAACAAGCATATCGAAACTTACGTTCAGCAAAGTCTGGAGGTGATTTCAAAGTACCGAGACAAGGTGATTGTTTGGTCCAGTTGGAGGATGTTTTTCGATCAGATGAAGAACGCCGGAAGACTTGGAAATATTATGAGAGATGATCTGCACGTGAAGGACCAATGGAAGCTCCAAGGAATGCAGCCATTGCTGAATTTCCTGTGCAACCCAGTAGATGAAAAGCTTGACTCGGATTACTGCTGTCACGGATCTGATGCGTTCCTGAAAAAAAAAGAGAAAAATCTTTGACTTGAAGATAATAACAGTACTTGAAGTCTCACCTTCCTAGCGAAGTCCAAGTTTGTTTTCATTGTGAAAATGATGAAATAAAGTCATTTGTTCCCAGCAAAGAAGTTGGGTGTTGGAAGGTGGGGCGCTGGCAATAGCTAGTTATCCATTTAGTCATTCTCTAGTCATCAGCAACTCCCTGAAAAACCTCCAACTGCCAAAGCATAGGAGTTAGGATCCAACTGAATATGAAGTAGGCATCAACCAGTTGACTCTCAACTCTGGAAATCATGGAGATGGGTCCATTTATATTGCAACTCGTGTTCCAGCCAGTTGTTCTCAATTGGGGTGAGTGGGAGTTGTGTGGGTGTTAGCTGCAACTGGCTGCCAGCTAGCTGCTTGGGAGCTGCGCTTGTTGGGGGTGATTGCATGTGGCACAGGTGTTTTTTGGGTGTTAGCTGCAACTGGCTGGTAGCTAGTTCCATTGGAACAAGAAACATGACAAATTTAAAAAAATTAAACAGCGGCAGAGATTTTCCCTCAGAACAATTCAGGGATTAACATCCATCCTTAAACACAAAAGAGAATATCATTTCATGCCCAACGAACACTTAAGAACAGTAATTACATCAGCTTAACTTTTATGGCCTTCAAATTCTTTGACTCTGCCATTCTGCTGCTCATTGGCAGCCCAAGTGTCTCATTGGCTATACTCATCAGCAGCCCAAATCAACATCAGCTAAAAACTTTAGCAACATTGGCTATAATTTTCAACATAGGCTAAAAACTCTAGCAACATTGGCTATAATTTTCAACATCAGCTAACAACTTTAGCAACGGTGGGCTATAATAAAGTTACTTGCCTTCCTGGAACTTTTTTTTAATTTTGAGGCTCTCCCTTCCTTACTGTGCCTTGCCTCCCTCCCACAGAGCCCAGAGAGGCCTGCAGGAGGGTCCCGTTTCCTGTTTCAAGGACTTTGAAAATGTGTCAAAAATTCAATTGTCAGTGAATTTTCAAATTTCTTCAAATGTCGAAAGCGCACAGATGTTTTATAACTCTCATTTTTTGAAATTTTATAAAAGCTTGAAAATTGAGTGAGATACAATCAAAACCACAAAACCGTTTTTGAAAACTGTACAAAAAACAAGAAAAAATATTTTACTTCTTGAATTTTATCTATTTCAATTATCAAAACATTTCAATAAAAAATATGTGAAATCGTGAAACATCTGTGCGCATTAACCCAGCAAACCTTTTAGAAATTGAATTAAAATTGAAAAAGTTAGAATGAGCTAAACTAAAAAGTTACAATTCCCATTTCTGTTTTCCTTTTGGTTTTGCTAACTTCCAAAATTTGCCAAAAATTCAATTTAGAAAGGATTTTTGAATTTCCTAAATTGTTGCAGGCGCACAAATGTTTTCTGAATTTATGCTTTTTATATTTTGAAAAATGTTCAAAATTATTGGCAAAGTTTCAATCAAAAACACAAAACTGTTTTTAAAAAATGGATAAATTGGGAAAAAATACTTTTACATCTTTAACATTTACATTTCATGTTTTAAACTTTGCTCATTGAAAAAATATTTCCATTTGAAAACTATCCATGCACATGTACCCCAAAAAATAATTGAAATTTCACCAATAAAATAAAAGTTATCATGAGCTAAACTGAAAAAAACTAATTTTTTGAAAATTCCATTCCCTGTTTTGCTAAAATTAAAAATTAGTCAAAAAGTCAATTCTTGATCAAACTTATTTTTTGAAACTTTATAAAGAGCACCATGCTGTTTGCCACATTTTCTGCTTTTTTAATTTTGAAAAAAGCAGAAAATTGACTGAATTGAAATGAAAAATGCAAATTTTTTTTTTTTTATTGTATGAAAATTGGGAAAAAAGATTTTCTATTTTAAATTTCAGCTTAGTCAATTTTCAACTTTTTCAGATAAAATTTTTAAAATTTTAAAACATCTGTGCGCAAGCAATCCTGGATTTTATTCAATTTTGACTCAATTTTCAAAATTCTTCAAGTGTTGCAGGCGCATGGATGTTTCATAAATCCCAATTGTTCAAATTTTGAAAAAAATGCCAAAATTGAGTGAGATACAGCACTGAAAGATGCAAAATATTTTTTGAAAATTGTAAAAAAATTGGAAAAATGCTTACAGTGTTTGAATTTAAACTCATTCAATTACAAATATGTTCCAAAAATATATATGTTAGAACATAGAACATCTGTGTTGTGCATACAAACCTGTGAAAAAATTTTAAATTTCAGTCAAATAAAAAATTAGATGGAGCTAAACTGAGAAGTTTGAATTCCCATACATGCTTTTCTTTCCAGTTTGCCAACCTTGCAAATTTTCAAAAACTTGCATTTTTGGTCAATTTACAAATTCACAATGCTGCATGCACACATGTGGTTTCTAAATGTTATTAATTTAAAAATTGAAAAATTTTCATAATTGGCTGACTTACAAGCAAAACAAAAAAATCTTTTTGAATAAACAACCAAAAATTGGCAAAAACGTTTTTACTTCATGAATTTTACCTGATTCAATTTTCTAGATTTGAAAATAGAAAAATTAATAAATTATAAAATATCCATTTGCATGTTCCCCTGAAATGTTTTGGAAATTTCACCAAAAGCAAAAAAGGGACAATTGGGTAAACTGGAATTCAAGACATTTTTAAATACTCACCTGCAGTTTTCAACTTTTAAATTCAATATATGTATGAACATTTTTCCATGAAGAAAAATTTTAAATAAGCCAAACTTTAGGACATGCACACCCTGAAAAATAACAGGATACAAGACATTGGAAACATCTTCAAAACTTGAGTTGAATTAAAAAAGTAAATTCTGAAAATGTTATATACACTCTTCAATTTTTATATTCATTAATTATGGATACTTTTCCCACTAATAAAAATTTGAAATGAACCAAAAATTGCAATGCACACACCCCAAAAACAAATAGAATTTGAGGCATTGTAAACATTTTAAAAATGGAATTGAATTCAAAAATGAGACAGTATTGAAATTTTCTCACACAGTATTAAATTTTTACTATGAATATCTTATGAGAAACAAAATGCAGGAATGAGCCCAAATTTTAGGTGCACTATCCCTGCAAAAATGAGAATAAAATTTTGGATATAGCGTGAATATTCAGTTGAACTAAAAATAAGGGGAATTTTAGAAATTTTCACATGCAGTTTTTTTATTCTTAAATTCAATAAATATGGAAATTTTTCTCAATGAGCAAAGTTTAAAACATGAAATGTAAATGTTAAAGATGTAAAAGTATTTTTTCCCAATTTATCCATTTTTTAAAAACAGTTTTGTGTTTTTGATTGAAAAGGGGGGTTGGGCGAGGCATTTCAGTTCAACCCAAAGGTCACTGAAGTGCTTCCAGGTTGAGCAGAGCTAAGTTGTGAAAAATCCAGGGGGGGGGGGGAGACAAATTTTCTACTGTTTTCTGGATTTTTCCATGGAAATCCTATGCCAGGAATGCAGTAAAAATGCCACCATATAGTTTTGTTTAATTTTTCCTTCAAAATGTTCTGTAGGATTAGAAGAAAATATCAGATTTTTTCCCAACTTAGGCCTTGGCAGAGCTGGCACAAAGGCACGTTTTTTAATTTTTTGCAGTGTTCAGTGACAGGAGGTGAAATGGGATGGAGCACCAAAAATATTTTAAATGTTAGAAACCAAGGGAAGTGGTAAGCAAATTAATTAATATTTTCCATTTTTATTTTCAACTGATTGAACCTTCAACATTCTCTTCCATTTAAAAAGTTTTAAATTTATAAAACTTCAATAATGTGCACCTAGCCTTGCAATAAATTTTTAAATTGATCTAATTTTAAAGAAATTATGCTGAGGTAAAGTTAAATGTTTCACTAAAAGTTGTACAATGCCCAGGTGTGGCTGGGCACCCCCAGCTTGTTGCCTATAATTTTCAACATTGGCTAAAACTTCAAGATGCAGCTTCAACATGAAAATTGAGAAAAATCTCTATGCCTCTAATCCCTTTTGAAAATTGAAAGTTTGGTGAAGGAGATTTTGTATCAATTTTCAGATTTGAAAAAAAACTTGAATTTTGGAAGAATTCATTTACCTCTGTCAATTTGAATTTTGTTACAGTTTAAAAAATGGGAAGTGTAGAAAACTTTATGGTGCTTTTAATGCAGTTGAAAATTTTCATTTTAGGGCATAATTACCATGTTGGTAATTATTAAAAGATGACAAATTGGGAAGAAAAATGTAAACAAGAATTCAAACTATTCAGTTTAGCTCATTCTAATTTTTTTGCTTGTTATAAAACTTGAAAATTATTTACAGGGAATCATGCACAGTGATGTTTTACAAATTTGATCTTTTTTCATTGAAAAATGTTGCTAACTGAAGCAGGGAAAATTCATAAAGTAAAAATATTTTTTGTGATTTTTGTACAATTTTCAAAAATGTGTTCACATGTTTGGTTGTAATTCTGTCATATTTTCAGCTCTTTTTGCATGTTTAAAAAAATAAAATTAGAAAACATCTTGGCACATGCAATGCTGTAAAAGATTTGAAAATTGGTGGAAAATTCACTTTTTGAAAAATTTTCCAAGTCATAAAAACAGTCCACAGTCTGTAAGCTGGTTTATGGTCCTTCAGCCTGTGCAACTCCCCCAAAACAGACCTGGTCCATAAACCAAAAATCCATAACCCAGTACGTCCATAAACTGGGGTATGAATGTAGTGAGTCATAGCATTGTTCATCCTTGATGAGAATTTGAGAAGACTTAGAGGTTTTCAAAAAGTTCCCTAATGCATGCGCAGGAAAGATGGCTACATGTCTGGGCACCAATGTGCTCAAGAGTATGAAGTGCAAGGTAGCTCAGCAGGCATGACACTGGACACCAAAGCAAGAGTACAGAGGTTTGAATCCCCCCTGCGGCAACATTTCACAGCGCATGCGTAAAAATACAGCCACTCACACACACACACACACACACACACACACATACATACATTTACACACGCACAGTATACTATACCTCTCTCACAAACACACTTCCCAGCACACAATGAAAACATACAGCAAAGCTTCTCTCACAAAAACACACAGCAAAGCTTGGGGTAACAGCCACTGATTACAGTAGTAATCCTTGGCTTTTACCACAATAATTTTTGTTTGTTTGGCCAATATGTTATCTGCCAAATTATATTCAATTATTCTATTATTCTATTATATATTCTATTATTCTTTACCTCTAAAGAAAAGTAAATCTTTTAATGAATACCCTTACACAGCATGTAAGGGTAGGTTTTTGATAAACAACTTGACCAACTTTTGGCTCCAAAGGATTTGCTTTCTTTCCAGTTTTAGTATCAAACTTTGCTTTGAATGGAATAGATCCATGGTATCTATATTCTGGTCATGGAGCTGGAGGGACAGAGAATGGCTTTGAATCAAATTGTTTACACCAATTGCAGGATAGTTTTACCTCTCAAGCTATTTTTCTTCCTCTAGGAATCCAAAAGGTTTTGTGAAGTGCAGTTAAGGTGACAGATGAAG